TTCCAGGGCTCCTCGCTCTCCTCTCCGGAACGCGGAGCGCGCCAGAGGAAGCCTCATCAGAGGTTCCATTCATCTCACTCCTTACTTTTAAACTTTAAAGCACATATTTATGTGCCTCAAGTTGCCCATGAACCACGGCATGTCAAACAGTTTGGGTTTGATGGAAGAGGTACATTTTCTCGTCCTGGGACTTTCAGAAACACAATTTCATCGCCGGTCGCTCTCTCTCTTCCAATTTCTCCCGTACGTTGCCATGAGATGAATATTCCTAAAATGCTGCGTTCAATACATGACTCACCTGTTCAAGAACCTTCCAAGGCCACTTCTGATCCCTCAAGGCTGGGGTCCCTGGACTGGTATGTAAGGCCCCCTGTAAGTGTGGCCTGGACTCCCACTACCTCTTAGCATGTACCTTTCCAGATCGCAGATATGGGCGGTGAGTGCCGGTCCTTGTCGCCCTTCCCCAGCCCAGCATCTTCTCCTAGTACTCGAACACAGTGATTTTTAGGAGAAAGCCACCCTTACTCTTTCTCCATATGGTTTGAGGCCTGCCCACAGGCCTGCCCACAGGCCTGCCCATGAGAATGCTGATCAGAGGTTGGCAAACTAAGTCTGAGGGTAAAAATAAATATATACATTTAAAATGCCCCTGGCCTATTTTTTACGAGGTCCTTGAACTAAGAATCATTTTTACACTAAATTTTTTTTTTTTTTTTTTTTTTTTTGCCACAGAATGCATGTGCTCACCAGACAGAGACAGAGAGAGAGAGAGAGAAAGAGAAAGAGAGAGCATACCCTATGGGGAATGGTTATACACAATCCCTTCTCTGCCATTTCTCTATCCTCTTGAGATTTGGGGCACACATACCCAGGTGCCTGGCATGTTTCTCAAGCTGTTGAGCTAGGACTGGGACCATGGGGCTGGCTATGTGGGATCTGGCTATCTGAACTACCAGGCCATGGAGCTGGTTCCATTTTGACATTATTACGATTTTTTTTGTAAGAGAGATTTTGCTACAGAGCACGGGTGCTTGCTGGAGAGACACAGAGAGAGCAAGTGAGAAATCACCTGAGGGGGGAGGGCCTTGCCTCAAGCTCTTTTCCTTCATTCACTTCTTGGGATTTGGGGCATGCATGCACACATACCTGGTGTGTTTCAAGCCTCTGGGTCTGGGACTTGAACTGTGGTTGGCCACGTGGGAGTCCAGCACTTTAACCACTCTGTCATCTGCTGGCCCCCATTTTTACATTTTAAAAAGGTTGGAAACAAACAAGAAAACAAATAAGATGCCACAGAGCATCTGTGGCCTGCAAAGCCTAACAGATTCACTATCTGGCCCTTTACCGAGCAAGTCGGCCCATGATGGACGATGCTCGGCTTGAGGCTGGGCAAAGGACCGGCTGAGCTGAGAGCTCCAGGACCTCGGCTGGAGTTGGCAGAGGCACGCATTCTCCTAGGTCTGTTATGCTGAATGAACACAGGCCTGGAACTACTGCTGGCCATCTTTATCACGAGAGGCTGCCCGAGAATGAAGCCCACACTAGGGAAGGCAGAATCAAAAGATGGAGACAGGCTGTGGGATCGGGAGCCAGCTGCGCCTCTCGGTTGTGCCTGCCAAGACATTTCTTTTTGCTCAAGCCAGTTTGAGTTGGGTCTCCTGTCACTTCTCATGCAAGGAGTTCTGATGGGTATAGATATCGGCAGGTTTGCCTGGATGCCTTTGGCCATGGGCTTTTCCGTCTGGAATGCCATTTAATCCTCTCTGCTCGTGGAACATCTACTTGCCCTATAGGATCTCACCTCCTCCAAGAAGCCTTCTTTGATTCTTTCTCCCTGCTTACGGTGGTCCCCTTTAGTTTCTGGGTGGTTCAGACTGAGCTTTAACCACCTCAGCTAGACTGTCTGGAGGACGCACTGCATCCCTAACAAAGCCATGGGCAATTGGTCGGCAGACATGGCTGGAACCCTGGGTACTGTGCTAGACACTCTGTAAACACCATGGTATTACTGCTCAGGAGGCAGTTGCTCAAAGGAGCTGAGGCACTAACTCCATCTCACAGATGAGAAAATGAAGCTCAGAAGTAAAATGATTTGATTAAGGTCACAGTTACTAAGAGATGGTCTGATCAACTCCAAATAACTGTCCATGATCCCACACTCTGGGCCTTGCATTGGCCAGAACCAAGCCTTCTCTGGCCACCTTCACAGGATGCCCCAAATCCAGCCCTACCTTTTCCTGAGTCCTGCAGGGACCTCCTACTGCCTGCTGGTCACAGTTCAAACACCTGAACTTGAAAATCAAGGCCTTCTGTTATCTGCCTATTCATCCTTTACCTACCCCCAACTCCAGCCAAACCAATAATCCAAGTATAGGTACACCCTAAATTAGAGGGAAAATCCTCACCGCACCAGCAAAGGATCACTTTGCAAAGCCTGTTAGTGAAGACTAGATTGAGTCAGCTGGACAGGTTCAAAATTAAAGTTGCCTGAATATAATAATAACTGGAGAGGTGCTCTAATTAGATTTTTTTTTTTTTTAATCAAGTGCAACAATCTGCCTGTAGAAATCCAAAAGCAGCTCTGGGTATTTTAACTCTTTGAGGAAGAGGTGGGTTTTTGGAACACCGTGGCAAACCCTCCTGTGCAAACTATCTCCCAGAGAGCTTTCCCGGAGCCCGGCCTAATTTAGCAGCACCTGTGGGCCGCCCCTGCCCTGCCTCGGCACACCACCATGGCCTGCCACACCTGGACGCTCCGGGAGGGAGCTGCCCTCGTCACACCAGAGCAGCATGTGACGCTCCACAAGGCACGCCGCCCCCTGACCTGTTTTCTCCTTTGTCAAGGCCTAGAGACTGAATTAGCCTATCACTATGTGTCCCCAGTGGAATTAGGAACAAAGCTGTGAATTCTTTCACAGTCCCCTCAATTAGACAGCATTGCCCTCCCTTTCCCAAAGGAAATCATCCCAGAATTTGAAAACTGCAAGAGAGCAAGTGATGTGCTTTTTCAGGGGTTCTAACGTAGGGGACCTGTGGGGTGAGAGGTGAAGCCTCTGGAATGGTGCACAGAACCTTGAAGGTCAGCAAGCAGACCCGGCAGATGAGAAGGTGGTGCCTGGCTGCAGCTGTGGGGAGGCGGTGCCCTCCTGGGGTGACAGGGGAGGAGTGGGAGCATGTTTCTGGGCAGGGGGTCTTCTGATCTCATAGGATGCCTGCCAAGGCCCAGAATTCTCAAAGATGAAGAGCTCTCTCTCTGACCCAATCCCCCCACATTGCAGGCTGAAGGACTGAGGCCCAAAGAGAAGGACCTCAAGGACTCACTGGCAGAACCAGACCAGAGCCAGGCTGCGGCCAACTCAACCCCAACTGGACATCCCACTGCCCTGGCAGGAAGACCTTGAGTAGAAATGAGCCGGGTCTCTCTGGAACTGGCTAGGGACCCTCACTCCAGTGTGTCCCCATGCCAGCAACACTCTGGGGTTTTAGGGTTTGGGGATTATCTATGCCACTGGAAAGTTATCAAGGGGCACCTCACCATGTACCTGTAAGGAGGTATTCATCATCTCTGGGATCCTCTGGCACATATGTGTGTGTGGTGCCTGTGTACCTGGATTTACATCATCTCTGGTTTTAAATCCTTCAGCGAGGGAAACGAAAACCAAGCATTTGTCTTGCCTTTCCTCCACAAACAGTGACTCCAGGTTCCCACCTGGCCTTTGGGTAGTTCTTTGGTTAAAAGCAAGCCAGCATGGGGCCAGTAGGTAGTGTGGTAGTTAAGGTGTTAGACTCGCACATGGCCGACCGCAGTTTGAGTCCTGGACCTGGTGGCTTGAAACTCACACCAGGTGTGTGTGCGCGCATGCCCAAAATCCCAAGAGGAAAATGGAGGAGAAGGGAGTACAGCATGGCCACTTCCCCCCCGGGGGGGTGATTTCGCACTTTCCCTCTCTTATGTCTTCCTCTGTCTCTCTCTGGTGAGCACATGCACCCTATGGCAAAAACCTAAAATCATTTTTAAAAAGCAAGCCAGCATGGCAGGATGAGAACAGCTTTACTCTGCAACCCCTAATGGAGGGGGGATCCAGGCGAGAACACTGATGGCCACTAACATCGCGAGAGCCCAGGCATCACATACCTCCTGATGGAAGTAAATACCACCCTTGAAGGAGTATTGCCAAAAAAACAAAACAAACAAACAAAAACATCAAACTCGATCAAGGCTCTTGCTTTGCCTTCCAATTTACAGGAAACACAGATGACAGGAGGAGCCCGTGAAATGATCCCCACAGGGGTGCACACAGTAAACCCAGGCAGTGGGAAACTGTAGGGTAAATGACCCTGCTTCCTCACCAACAACTGAAAAGGAAACGGAACCAGAGGTGAAGGGGCCCTGATAAGTCAGAGAGTGTTTGTGAAGGGGTATGTCGATACCAGTGATGTGCACTCAAACTTACTGGGATCCTGATTCACACACACTGGGGGCATTCAGACATCGACGGAATCCTGGGCAATACTAAAGGATCATTGGCAACTTTAATGTAAGATAATGGGATCGTGGCTGTCCATTAAAAAAAAAAAGTTTGGCTATGACACCTGGGATTTGCTTCAAAATAACCCAGTGGGGAGGGTGAGGGGAGTAAGTGGCAGGGGTATAGACGAAACAGGGCTGGCTGTGTGCTACAAACCAGTGAAGCTGGGTTATGGGTATGTGGGACTTCATTACAGTAAAAAATTAAAAAACCAATCTCCTTATCACTATACTATTACCCAGAGTAGAAAGTTAAAAAAATAATAATCTCCTCTTTAAAAGGTATCCAAAAATTGTTATGAGTGTTGCCCTTGGGGAGGAAAACCAGATGGCTGGGAGATGCGGAGGGGACGTACTTCTCGCTCTTCTGTTTCGTACTGCTTGGATTTTTATACCGTGGTTCTGGATTACCCATTCATTTAAGAAAAAAAAACACCCAATTTAAAGAACATACTTCAAAGTGAGCTCTCGATCAAACTTTTCATCCAAGAAGTGTCTTTACTTCATTTTTTTCCAAAGAACAGGTTAGGTACAACAAATTAGTTCCACCTCATTATCGAGGAGAGGGAGACGTGTGCGGATGGAGGGGGACTGACCCGGGTGTGATGGCAGGCTGCTTCTGGAAGGTTCTGTGATATGAGATACTTAAACATGGTCCTCGGGACTCCAAGAACTCCATGCTACACACCAGTAAGCACCTGTGTGTGTGTGTGCACGTGTGTGCATGTGCACGCATGCCTGTGTGCGCCGACATGTGGCCTGTAAGACAGCTAGAGCTGTCGAGATGGTAGGCTAAGGAGTTAAACCCTTAGAGCCACCAGACAATGTCATTTGAAAACACAAGGTATGAAATATAAATAACAGTCAGCTACTTTCCTTCAATCCAATTTCTAGGCAGTGTGTGATCGATCAATTTATACATCGATTGGCTGTCTAACCCACCTTCTCTGCAACCACCGCCTCCACTTTCAGCTGGGACGGGGTCAGCCCAACTCTGGCTGGCAGGGGAGAGAAGAGGTGAGCTCTTCACCGATGGCCTGTAGTGGGGAGTGGGGTCCCTGAAGCTCCTCGAGTAGGCAGAGCACGTTGGCTGAGTAGGGGTTCTGCTGCCCGGTGGCCCCCCGCAGCTGCACAGGCAGGAGGCTCGGGTGGGGTGGTATGAATGGCATGGGGCAGTAAAGTTCGTTCAGGAGGAACCAGGTGGAGTCCGGGTCTACTTTCATCAAGTGGAGGAAGACGCTGTGGAGAGATGGAAAGGAGTGAGAGGAGAAAGCAGGGAGGGGAGGGGACAGCAGGGATGTGTGAAACTATTCCACTCGAGACTGTTTACTGGGCTATCTGAGAAGAAACTGGTAACATCAGATCATTTCAAATAACAGAACAAACCCACTTTAGTTCATAAGACAAGGCCATTAGGATGGTCCCAAAGCCTAGCAGAAATAGAGGTAAACAGTTTCATATCCATTGGCATACAGTAATTAGTCTGAGCAGAACAATATTGACATCAAACAAGCTCTTGGCAAAGAAATCGGCTGAGATTCGGAGTGCAAAGCAGGGGTTTTCAAAAAGAAGAAAAGCGAGAGGGCCCACCCTTCATTACAGGCTCCACTGGGCTCCCAGGCCCAGCCTGGGGCAAGGGTGGGGGTGCTAGGGGAAAGCATATGCGGATGGGCCAGACCAGAGCAGGACTCTCGTCTGCTCAGAGACCCTGGGCAAGCAAGGTCTCTGCTTCTGCTTCTGAGTTGTAGGTCCTCAGTGTGGGGCCTCCAGCTTCCGGCTGACCTCTATAGCTAGCCCTTTCTGTCCACCAGAGCCATGGATTTTTGGTGGTCTGAAAACATGCTCCTGGCTCGGGATCAGCAGTTAGTGTAATGGCTATGTCGCTGGACTCCCATGTAGTCGACCGCGGTTCGCGTCCCAGACCCGGCGGCTTAAACTCACGCCAGGCGCGTGTGCATGTGTGCCCAAGATCCCGAGAGGAGAATGGAGAAGGGATTGCGGCGTGGCCATCCCCCCTGGGGGGTGATTTCCTGCTTTCTGTCTCTCTGTCTCTCTCTGTCTGTCTGGCGAGCGCACGCGCCCTATAGCAAAAATCTCTAAAAAAAAAAATGCTCCTGGCTCTCCTGGGGGGAGCGTGTGTACCCGTGGGGACCAGATGAACAGAACATGCTGCTCCTCACAGGGTGGCAAAGGGCATCTTTATTCTCCCAGCACAGGACCAGTTGAATCCTGCGCCATAATCTCTGTCCTATACATCAGGGATCCCCAGTCCCCATGGATCAGATGGGTCTGTGGCCTGTTAGGAACTGGGCCACACAATTGAGTGGTGGGCGAGTGAAGCTTCATTTGTGTTTATAGCTGCTCCCCATTGCCTGTCGTATAGCCTGAGCGCTGCCCGTCAGATCAGTGGAGTGGTGGTATTGGATTCTTGTAGGAGCCCAGATGGGACTGGGTAGTTACAGAAAAACAAGCTCAGGGTTCCCACTGATTCTGCATTATGGAGAGTTGTATAATGATTTCATTCTATAGCACAATGTAATAATAGTAGAAATAAAATGTACAATAAATGCAATGTGCTTGACACATCCCCAAATCATCCCCTCAGCTTTCCGCCCTCTCCCCCTGGTCCATGGGAAAACTGATTTCCACAAAACCGGTCCATGGTGCCAAAAAGGTTGGGGACCACTGCTCTACACGACACAGACAGAGCTCAAGGCCCTGGGCCTGCAGATGCCATAAACCCACCAAGGGTGTGGGTTCTATGTGGTGGCCTGACTCGGGGTCAAAACCTTGTCTCTGTATACTCAGGTCCAGGGCCACCACATTAGGCGGTTCAGGCGTACCCTTCCTGCACCTGGCTGACATGCCCCTGGCTGTGACTCCGAATCTGGCTTTTCAGTCCAGGCTGGCCGACTTCCTCTCAGCCAGCCCGGCCATCTCAGTGCACGCACCATCTCATGCTCAGAGAGGCGTGCCTCCCAGGCCATTGGCTCAGGTGTTGTCCTTACTTTTCTCTTCCGGGATACCTGTCCCGGCACATATGGGTACTTGTCCACTGGCCGTCTCCCTTTCATGCAGTGTAAGCTCCCTGAGGGCAGTGACCACCTCTGCTCTGGTCACTGCTAGGCCTGAGGCTGTCATGGCACATGGCAGACATTCAGAAAGGTCTTGATTGAACAGGTTCTCACTCTAATGAGGACTCAGTGACTTATCAGGTGGCACATTAATGCCCTAAGATGACATTCCTTTCAGGAATAGTATGTTCTATGGAAGGATCTGAAGGAGAGGTCAGCTGCTCACCACCAAGGAAGGCATAACGAACATCATTATTAACAAGATTCATGTTCTCAAGGCATCACCAGCCATGCGGCTTTGAGAAATTATTTAACTAGCCCTAGTCCCAGTTTCTTCATTTCTAAAAATGGAGGATGTTCTTCACTTAGGGTTTTGCTAGGAATTTTCTTCTTTAAGTGGTCAGAGTACATGCACACACCAGAGAGAGAGAGAGAACTCCCCCTTGCCTCCCACCATGGGCCATGGTCACACCACAGTCCTCCATCCCTTCTTCCTGTCGGACTGTGGGCATATACTCTTATGCACTTGGCATGTTTTCCAAGCTGCTGAGAGTAGAACCAAGATTGGCCACATGGGATCTGCCTCCCTAAAGACAGTACTTAACTCTGTGCAAATGAGCAGGCCCATTTTGCTGAGGTTTAAAACACAGATTAAGCCCTATATAGTGTCTTCCAACTAACAGACCATATAGGATCTGTTTGATGGATAACATTTTACTCTTGACAATTATTCCTAGGAGTTTCATGCACACTTCTGGGCTTCAAATGGAAAATTAAATGCTTGCTAAACAGTGCTGAAATTTGTTTTTTAATTTAATTAACCTGAAATATCTATGTCCTTAGAGCATTTGGGTCTAACCTCCGTTTTGGATTCTTCCTTGGTTTTAATATACACAGGCTAAGGAGGTAAGAAAGGCAGGCTGTGGGGAGGAGAGATGCTTAAGATTTTTTCCTGACCTGTTCTGTGCCTAAACAATTTAAGTTTTCTTTGCTTAGGATAATCTTATGTTTATAACCTCTACAGTGGTTGCTGGAGAAGTGATTAGAATATTCTAATTCATCGTTTCCACTTCACCGCAGAAAGGAGATGGGGCCTGCGTGGGAGACAATTTTTGTTTAAAAACAAAAATATCTTTGATAATTAGAGTGGCAAGGGAAATTATGAAAAAACAGACCAGAAACGGGAAGCAGATTTCTATTTACACGTGATACAGTTGACAGTTTTCCCTTGTGCCAAAGACTGTTAGAATGCAAATGGTTTCATTTTATTTTTTTCCCCCTCTTCAAGAACTGGAGCAGTTTCTCAAGCTACAGCATGGCGTTCTCCCAGCTTCAAGGAATGTTTTTTTCTGGGAGACACCCAGCAAAGTAGTGCCACAGCTCAGTTAAGTCGTAGGTCTGCTCTGACTTACATGGCATGAAAATGCTGCAATGTTCATTTTCTGAGCCCTTTTAACTGGCTAAATGCAGACGTATTCACTGGCAGGAAAGAAAAAAGAAGGAAGCCACTCTTTGCCCTGAGAGATCCCCAAATTAAATGCTAACAGGAAGCAAAGGAAAAATGTGTACAAAGTTCACCTTCTTTGATTAATCAAGAGCCAAGCTCTTAGAAGAATGATTTTGGGTCTCATTTCTTTGCTGTTAAAGGGGTAGAACCCCTAGAGTGGCAGGCAGTGTGAGTTCCTTCTGCCTCTGTGGCTGGAAGCAAATTAGTTTGCCTTGTGAGTCTGTTTCCTTTCTCCAAAGGAAGATGATCACACCCGGCCCACCCTCCTCACAGGTTTGTTCTGAGGCTCCAAGGAGATGAGGTGCAGGAAAACACTTTGAAGTGTATAATGAAAACACGGTTCCTTCCAGAGAGTGTGTGAGTGTGTGAGTGTGTGTACGTGTGTCTAAGGAATAATTATCACTACCAACCCTGGCAGTACCGCCATGCCATGGATAATTCTCAGACACTTTGAAAAGGGCAAAACATTTGTCTTTTGTCTCACTCATAATTTCCTCCATACTAACTTGGCGGGGAGAAGGGGTGGTCTTGATTCTCAGCCAATGGGGTTCTAATTTCACCTATCATTTTCTTTTTTCTTATTTTTTTTTGAGAGAAAGACAGAAAGACAGAGAGCAAGAAATCACCCCCCGGGGGGGAATGGTCACACCACAATCCCTTCTCCTCCATTCTCCCCTCGGGATCTTGGGCACACATGCACACGTTCCCAGCGTGAGTTTAAGCCACTGGGTCCGAGACTCGAATCGTCAACTACATGGGAGTCCAGCGACATAGCCATTACGACTGCTGGTCCCTCACCTATTATTTTCAAGAAGGAAAGAAAGCGATGTACTTTGCCCTCCGCATGCCTAAGGTGGGAGCAAACAGCAGGCCGCGCAACCAGATGGTTGGCAGCAGAGCGTGCTCCTGCCCGGTGAGAGGCATCTGGCCCGCTGAGCTCTAAACACCGACAAGTTCTGAACCTGGACCCTCGTTGGCTCTAAGCCCCTGGGAGCTGAGCCTGTGGCTCCGGTCTGGTCTGAGAGCTCAGTGGCCAGGCTTTGTTCCAAACTCAGGCACCAATTTGTCCTCAGACCACTTCCTGCCCAGCCTGAGCTGGGAAGACTGACCCCCCTAGAGAGCCAGAAGCTGAAAGCTGAAGTCCTCCAAAGCCCTTTTTACATAATCCAAAACTGAAGACAAAGACAGGACCTCTGCTTTGAAGTGGCTGGGGTAACGGCCTGGAAAATGTTCCCAATACATCTTGCGACACGGGCCAGAGATGGCTGTTGAACATGGCGAATGGCCAGTTCCATCTTTTTTTTTTTTTAAACCTAAAGAGAAACACTTTTTAAAAAATATATGTACACCATTTAACTCCTGAACAAAAATTCCTTTCTCCTTCCCCCAGGCCCAAATCAGTGGCTCCAGGGAGCACAGTTATCAAGAGATTATCTGGTCCCCAGAGTATCGGGAGGCACTCAGCTGTGCCTCATGCCTCCGAGTGTCCTGAGGCGAGTGATTATCTCTCAATAACCTGTAGGGCCGTGTAGCTTAAATGATAACTTGACTTTAAAAAATTTAGAACTCGCCGTTAGGCAGTTTCTAAGCAACCTCTGTTTCCATGGCAAAGAAGCCTGGTGTTTATACTGATTTTTCACTTAAAATGCGGTTTTATT